ATATTTTTAAAAAACAAAACAAAAACACTTAAAACAAAAAACCCTCAGTCCCTCACAGAGGGAGGATCATTAGCCCTCTCGGCACCTTTCCTCCCTTAGAAAGTGAATAAATGTTTTGCTCAGTTACTCTTCCCTGTGAATTCGTTGACAACCCACGGCTTAAGTTGAGAAAACGATAAGAGCCCCCCTAACACATTACACTGACTTTGTTCACTGGGATGAGCGACTCAAATCCACCATACGTAGTATAAGGTAGTAGATGGTTGTGGGTGGGGAGGGGGGGATCTAGGATATAAGGCAGGGATAAATACAGTGCATGCCTCCTTCAATTAGCATTTGCTGCAAATCCTCCCAGCGTGTAAAATACTATACAGCCACAAATCAGCTTTTGCAGGTCTTTATCTCTTGTATAGAACAGGAGGTGACTTCCCAGGCTTCACTCTCTTCAGTGTACTAGATCCAGACATTTAGTGTAATACCCTGTTTTATTTATTTATTTATTTTTTGACTTAACATTGGTTTCAGGAAGAATCTTTGCTACCTAGAATCTTCAGTCTTTATTTCAAAGCAACACTGGATAATTGCTTTATGCAACTGAAGAAAAAAAAAAAGTTGGAACAACTATAAACAGAAATGCCAAATCACTGATGGTTATTGTTGCTGCTTCAAATCAGTATAAAATTAATGCCCAGAAAGCCCACTCTTTCATGTTGAATACTTGGTGTGGGGGAGAGGGGAAGGGGAACCTTTTCTTAAAATGAAAGTAATTACTGCTCTTTTAAAATCTCTTGATCACTGAACGTGAGACCCTTCTGACGTGATTTGAGAAGCTGTGTAAGTATAGGCAGAGTTATTTGCCTGTTTACTCTTTGGGGAGATTGTTTTGGGGGAAAATTGATAGGTCTAATTGCTATTTACCTCCTTGATATGCTGCAGTAAAAGCTTTAAATTCACGTTGCATGTTTGCTTTTGACGTATCCTTTTGTGAAATGAGCACTGTGGGGCTCTGGAGAAATGCAGCATGTACCCTCCCTCCCTCCCTCCCTTCCCTCAGCAGAAATGTGTCAATGAGTCGTGAGTTCAAACAACTACCTTTTTAAAAAACCCACAAAATACTGATTCAGTGCAAAATTAATGCGAATGTTTCCAAAGTGGATTTCTGATATTTGTAAATGTTTTTCTTTATTAGGTAAGAATGTATGACCATTAAAGTCATTAGGATTATATTGTTTTTTTAAAAAGAAGCTGGGCAGAACTGTAATCCAGCATCTTTTATTGAATTGGAAAGACTGATAAAACCTCTTGGAAGGATTGGGAGATGTGTCTGGAAAAGCACTTGGAAAATATACAAGCAAGATACCTCATGGCATATTAAAAGAAAAAAGTAATAGCGAAGAAGAAGGAGGAGGAGGAAGAGGAGGAGAAGAAGGGTGAGAAAGAGAAGGGGCGGAGGAGGAGAAGGAGGAGGAAGAGGAAGAGTGGGTAGGGGAGGAGGAGGAGAAGAAGACCTGAACAGCTTAATAAAATGTGGGATCCTGAATTGGATCCTGGACCAAAGAAAGGAAAATGGGTGATATTGGAATATGGGCTTAGAGTAGATTATAGTATTGTATCAGTGTTAATTCCCAGGATTTGGTCATTATGCTATAGTCCGTAAAATATTAACATTAGAGGAAGCTGGGTAAAAGATATATGGGAACTCTACTATTTTTGCAACTTTGTGGTAAGTCTAAAAGTTGCTTGTTTGTTTGTTGTTTTTTTTAATATATTTTATTGATTTTTTACAGAGAGGAAGGGAGAGAGATAGAGAGTTAGAAACATCGATGAGAGAGGAACATCGACCAGCTGCCTCCTGCACACCTCCTACTGGGGACATCAAAAGGAAAATACATAATGGGTTACATGAAATTCATTGGTGATAGATTAAGGAGGTGGGATAAAGCAATGCGCGGGGAAACCTCTGGGATAGGGTAAAAAGTATATGCTTTTTTTACATAGATGCATACAGGATAGTTTAACATAATTAACAGTTGATGATTAACTTGATAACAGTAACTTTGAGGGAATGTCCTGGTGCTATTTGTTGTGTCCTGAGGGGTCCAGAAAGAAAGGGAAGTTACAAGTTACCCAGACATTTCACAGACATGTTATCTTAGAGGCAAAAAGACAAATGGGCTCAGTAAAGATCTAAGTTGATCTTTGTCAGGGAAAATACTGGCCTGGGACGTGACTACCCACTATAACCTGTTTGTAGTTAAATATTTAATTTTCAGACCATCTTTTGTGGTTATTTTAGGTCTCTGAGTTTGCAAGACTGCCATGCAGGCCTCCCCTGAGCTTGTCAGGTTAGCATGTGGCCCCTTTCGTCCACAAGACACATCAGTTGGTTGCCTCCCACTCATGCCCGACCAGGCCAGGGATCAAATGTGCAACCGAGGTACATACCTTTAGCTTGGAATCGAACCCGAGACCCTTTGGTCTGTAGGCTGGTGCTCTAACCACTGAACAACCCGGCCAGGGCAAGTCAAAGTATTTTTCAATACTAAGTATTCTTCATATCTAAAAAAAATCATTGCCTACCTCAAGGTCCTGAAGATTTACATTTAAGTTTACTTCTAAGAGTTTAGGTCTTTGCTCCATTTTGAGTCCATATATTCTTATTTTATTATTTTAAATTCTCACCTGAGGATATTTTTCTATTGATTTTTTAAAATTCTTCATTGTTGAAAGTATTACATATATCTCCTTTTCCCCCTCATTAACCTCTCCCTACCCACTCCTACCCCCCAGCACAAGCCTTCATCCTCCCCACTGTCTGTGTCCATTGGTTATGCTTATATGCGTGCATACAAGTCCTTTGGTTGATCTCTTATCCCCAGCCCCTCCCAACTTCCCCTGTTGAGTCCATTTTTATGTAAAGAAAATGGAATGTTGAGAGGAGGAAGGATAAAGTAGGGGGTCCAACATCTTTTTTTTTTTGCATATCTATCTAATGGTCCCCCTACTATTCATTCCCCCACTGAATTATCTTACCACCCTTGTGGAAGGTCAATTGACCTATATTTTTCTTAAATTTTTTAATGTCTCTATTTAAATGTGCAATGTTTCCTACTAGACCTGGATTGAGATAGTAACTGGTACCAGACGTGGTCTCAGGAAGCTTCTTGAAAATGAGATTCTGGAATTAAGTTGCTAACATTTGAGGAGCAGTGCTAACCCCCTTCTTGGAGGACAGTGAGCACTGGTAATCCACAGCATATTGTGGCTTCATGATCACTCAAATATAAGTAGGATCTCTTTTGTGAAAGCAAAAGTACTTGTGAGCAAGAGGTAGACCCTGAGATAGGACAAGGCTCATTTTGGCAGACACAAATAAGGTCAAGAACTTCGAAATCCTAAATAACCACCCATCCCCACCCCCAAACCCTTTTTCCTGGCCGAGGGATGTTTGAAAAAAAAACAAAAACAGTCTTCCCCACATAAAATTCTTTTCATGACTGTACCTTGTGCTGTAGCCTCCCAAGATTACAATTCTCTGAGCCCCCTCCACCATCCTTCATTCCTTCTAGTCCCACAATGAGAGTTAGATCCAACACACGTCTTAGTTTGCTCAAGCTGTTGTAACAGAGTACCATAGGCTGGGTGCCATAAACAACATAATTTATTACCTTACATTTCTGGAGGCTAGAAGTCCAAGATCAAGATATTGGCAGGGTGGGTTCCTTCCAATGACTGAGAAAGAATCTCTTCCATGCCTCTCACCTAAGCTTCTGGTTGGTTTTTGGCAATCTTTGGTGTCCCTTGACTTGTAGAAATGTAGCCCTGATTTCTGCCTTCTTGTTAACATGGTGTTCTCCCCATGTGCATGTTCCCTTTTCATAAGAACATCAGCCAAATTTTATTAGAGCCCACACTAATGACCTTATTTTGACCTGATTACCTCTATTAAGACCCTATTTCCAAATAAGGTCACTTTCTCAGGTAGCGAGGATTAGGACTTCAACAAGTGAAATTTTGGGGAGGCACAATTCAACCTAAAATGATAACTCAGACAGAGAAATATAAGACTTTACCCAGAAGGAGATAGCCTATACATGAAGAAAAAAATTGCAGATCTCAGCAATTTGTATGGGCAGGAATCTGAGGAACAGGTATATGTTTGGATTCCAAAGGTGTTACACCGGTGATGATAAATGCAAGATTTGATTAGGTCAAAGTTATCAGTTGGGTGCACTCCTCTGGGGATAAGAATTTAATGTGTTGACTCAAGCACCTCAAAGAAGCATAAATGTTCTCCTAAGTTGGCTAATGGAATATTGGACCCAAATCATTGCCCACCAATTTGAGCTGGTTGAAATTTCCTGACTTGCCGGAAGCCGGTCCATCCTTGCTGCTTGACACAGTCGCTGCAGGGAAGAAACATCTGCACAGCATATGTTTCAAGGGTCCTGGCGTATATGGCATACTGTTCTTAATATGTTTGCTCCCCTT